AGCGGCTGCTGGTGCAACCGATGATGAAGCTATGGGGAGAGGAGTACCTGCAGCACAGCAAAACGAGCAGCGCAACTGTGGGTCTACTCCTGCTGCGGCTTTTGCTGCTGCTGCTGCTGTTGCTGCCGCTGCTGCTGCTGCTGTTGCTGCCGCTGCTGCTGCTGCTGTTGCTGCCGCTGCTGCTGCCGCTGCTGCTGCTGCTGCTGCTGCTGCTGCTGCTGCTCACCCTGTCGTAGAGAGGGCCAGTAGGCGCGTTCGTGGCGCGTAGGACAGCCGCAGCAAACGACCTGAGGAGCCTCTGCAGCAGGGGCGCCGCGCCTGGGGCAGATGAGGGGGATACTGCAGCAGCAATTCAGCAGCACAGCAGCAGCAGCAGCAGCAGCAGCAGCAGCAGCAGTGACACCAGCAGGTATACGTTGTAGTTATTAAAACTTAATAAGTTTAGTTTCATATAATTTTCTAAGTGCTGCTGCAGTGTATGTACACCGCACAGCCGCCGCCGGCAGTCGGCGCCGGCTCTGCACGTGCGCGAGGAGGGGGTTGGTGTTATGAGTTGTTTTGTGTTTTTATAAATGTATAAAGAAATATAATTTAATTAAATAAATTTAAATTAATTAAATAAAGGGAAAAGGAAAATACTGACGATGAAAGAAGCATCGCAAAGAGCAGCTGCAGCGGCTGTCTTCCCTTGACCACTGGTCAGCGAGAGAACAGAAAAAAGTTGCAGCTGCGCATACACCGGAATTATAATATATATATTATATTATAAAATAAAAAAAAGAGAAGAAAACAGACAGTGCTACAAACACAATTCATTAGGAGTTCATTGTAGTTGCCGTTGCTGCTGCTCCTGCTGCTCTTGCTGCTGCTCCATCAGCATACATAACAGCAGCACCGCCAGCAGCAGGAGCAGCAGCAGCAGCAGCAGCAGCAGCAGATGCGGTGGCAGCAGGAGGTGGTGGGGTTGTGTCTGCTGCAGTTTTCTGCTGCTGTTTCTACTGCTGTTTTTTTTTTTTTTAATTACATTATACTTTCATCTTTTTTGCTTTTTTCGTTTCTTATATCTCTATGTATAACAAGCGCTGAGGTGGCGCCTAACTAAACCCCTAGGGTTTAGGGTTTAGGGTTTAGGGTTTAGGGTTTGTTGTGAGAGAGAGTAGCAGCAAACCACAATATTCTGCTGTATATACTGCTGCTCTTCTTAGTGCCAACAGATTATTATATTTATCCATACACCGATAGTTATGTAAATGTTATGTACTATATATATATATATATACGTTATGTATTATATATATATATATATATATATATATAC